ACGTGCCTTCTTGCCACAGCCGCAAAAACATTTTTCACCAGCGCGCACTTGCTGTGTATTCCACTACGAACGTAAAAGCCTTCGTGAACCCGTGCATTTCTCTCCACCTGCTGCCGTTTCTGTCTTTGTCCGGCGGAGAATAGAGAAATACCCTAGCCTCTCTTCCTTGGCGCCCCGTCACAGGGGTCCCAGGTCATGGCCTTTAGAATCGCTTTCTGTTTGCAGCCGCGCTTGAGACTAGCGTCTTTTCATTGGTCTGCCGGTGAGCGCGGTCGGTGCTGTTCATGAAGGCACACACACAGAAACCGATTGGAAAGTACTGGTGTCGTCTTATCCCGCTTCAACACTGACATATTTTCATCGGTCAGCCGGTTTACTCCGTCGGTGCTAATCGTCCAGACACACACCCGCGATGCCCCCTCACAGGAGTTCCAGATCACGGCCTTTAGAAGAGGTTCCTGTTTTCAGCCGCACTTTGAGACTAGCGTATTTTCATTGGTCAGCGGCGGGGGAGCGCGGTCGGTGCTTTTCATTACGACACACACAGAACCCTTCGATTAGGAAGTATTGGGTGTTTTTTATCCGCTACAAGACCATTCCCCGAAAAGACTTCCACCTATCCCCTTCACCACTACCACTACTGTTTCTGCTGTGGTTGTATGTCGAAGAGGTGGTCTCTCTTCGATTGTATGTATGTTCCCCGGCGTCTTTTCAGTTCGTCAGCCGGTTATGCTAACAATACAGACACCCCCACACACGCAGGCGGCCTACGGGTTCCTCTCGGACTGCGTGCCCATCCGCGGCCTGAAGCGCAAGCCGTACATGCTCATCGGGTGGGGTGTCCACATCTTGAGCAACTCCGCCCTGGCCATCATGGGCACCCCAGGGGAAGACGCGGTCGTGATCCTCTCCTTCCTGTCGGCGTGTGGCTACCTCCTGAGCGACGTCATGACGGACGCGATCGTCGTGGAAAAGTGAGTGTCGCTTCTGCTGCTGCTGCAGCTGCTGCTGTTGTTGTGGGCCTTGTGAGGGTCTTGGTCTCTCCGTACCTCTTGGTTCCGGCACTGTGAAGCGAAGCGCAGTGAAATTGCAGCGCTCTTCGCGGACCGAACTATAGTTGTTTTGCTGTTGCATGTTTGTTGTTTCCTGAGGCGTTTGTAACCAAAGCCCGCGCGCTTGCGCCTTTCTTCTGTAGGTAAAAACAGAACTGGGCAAAACGTGTGCTTGCTGATTTGGGGAACGGCGCTGTTCTCGCATTACTGCTGTGCCGTCGATGGGCATTAAACACCCGTTCCCCCCCCTGCCCTCCTACTTGCCCAACTTGCGTGCAGAACCCAGCGAGAGTCCATGTCTAACATGGGAAACATCCAAGCGAGCGGTTACATAGCTCGGTATTTCGGATCGGCCATCGGGGCGGTGGGAGGCGCGGTCCTCTACAACAAGGACACGTGGTGAGTGCGCTTACAAGCGCTTGCTGCATCTGTCTGTGTGCGTTTCTCTGTCTTTTCGCTCTCTCTCTCTCTTTCCCTCTCGCTCTCGGTCTGTCTGTGTCTCTCTCGACCCATCTCTTTCTTTTCTCCTCTCCTTGCCCTCTCTCCTAGCTCTCTCTCCCCTTCTCTCTCTCACACACATACGTACGCTTGTAGTTTTCTTGGCCCAAATCCCTGTCGTTATCTTGCACCCAAACACACGCATGTCTCTTTGTCGGGCAGGGGATGGGGGCTGACCATCTCCGAGCTCTTCTGGATCAACGCTTTGGTGCCTCTGGTTCTGGTCATGCCGCTGATGCCCTTCCTTCTCGAGGACAAGAAGCCTAGGGAGAAGGGCGTCTTGAAGCGACACAGCGACGAGCTGTGGACCCTGGTTCAGAAGACCGCGGTGTGGAGACCGATGATCTTCGTTTACCTCTACAACGCCCTCATGGTGAGTGTCGCGACTGCAAATGTTGTCGGTCTTGAGGTCTGTTGTTGTTGGTGTATAGCTGCTACCGTTGACGCTGTTGCTGCTGTTGCGACAGAAGACGGCGGTCCAGAAGCCCATGATTTCCGTGTACCGTACCGTTGCGTCGCCATCCCGGTGGCACGTTTAGTCGTCGGTGTGGCTGTTGTTTACCATAGAGTCGTATTGGTATTTTCGCCCCGGTACGTGCATGCATAGGAGGCTGGTAAAGGTGCGTTTCTCGCCCTCTTCTTGGCTAGCTTGACCGCTAGCCTATCGTCACGACGGAGTTAGCGTTGGTGGCGTGGTCATTGTTTGGAACTCCATGGGAGATTGCAACTCGCGCTTTTCCGGTCTCTTGGTACTATCAGAGCTGATGGTGGCCTCTCACAACCTCCTCATGCCGCCCTTACTCTTCGCCCTGTGTGTCTGTCTCACGACCGAACTCTGCCCCCAATGTCTCAATGAAACCACTCCTCTTTCTTTCTTTTTGCATCTCTTCACCTTGACGTATCGTGCCTCACGATACTACGGCCTTTGATGGTGGAGATGCCACCCTCCAGTCGTTTCGTGCTTTTTTTCGTTTCACAGCCCACAAGAAACCCGATCAAACAGAACGTGTGTCCACCGCTCTTCAACCGTCTCTCCTGGCCTTTTTTTGTCTTACCTCCTGCCGCTGCTGCCTTCACAGCTTCCGAACGGTGCTTGGACCAACTACCTCGTTGAGACGTTGGACTTTTCGGACTGGGACATCGGCGTGGTTAACATCTGTTCCCAGGTATGTTTTCATGTTTTTGTGTGGTGTACACCAAACACTACCCCGAGACACCGAAGAAAGGCGCGTGCCGGAGGCGGGGGGGGAGCTTCGACTTGACGTCGTGGGAAATCCTTTCAAAGTCCATGTGTCTGGCGTGAACGTTCCATCCGGGGCTATCTTAACTCTGTTCTTGAATCTCGTCTGTGGTCGGGACACTTTTTTTTTTCTTCGTGTTTTTCTCCCTGTTTTTTTTTTTTCCTTTTTTCTCTGCACCCTTCCCTCCCTCCCTGTCCCTCCCTCCCTCCCTCCCTCCCTCGCTTCTTCAAGCGTACTTTAATTTTTCACCGCCCCGTGGTTTCAACTCGCCGCTTATTTCCGTCGCTTGCTGCTGCTGGTGCTGCTGCTGTCAATGATAATTGGATGGGCTTGGCGTGCGGCACGATCTGACCATCAGATCTGTGCGTGGCTGGGACTTGTAATTTACAAGAAGTGGATGGGCGATGTCAGCTGGCCAAGTCTCTACTGGTACACTACCTTCCTGACCGTGAGTCACAATCCTCACCCAGCCAACGACGCTATCGATCGATAGATCAAATGGCGGGACTTGGGTCCGTTTTACGTTTTTTTTTCTTCTGTTTTTATCTCGTCCTACCCATCGAAATCCTTTCTCCACACCAATGTGGCTTGCTTCCCTCCCTGTTCGCGCCACTCTCTTTGGTCAAGCCGGGAAACATACGGACCAGCTTGTCTCCCTGCTGCTTCCCACCGCCCCGCTCACCCCCCCTCTTGTTCTCGTAAAGGATGGATGATTTATGACCACATGACGAGGGCGAGAGCAACAAGTAATCACGCCAGCCGGAGATAAACCGGCATATATATACATATCATCGCTCCGTCCCGGCGTTGTAGGGATGCGAGGTCAAAGGTCTGACGCCTACGGCATGCGTTATCATGAGTACCCCCCCCCCCCACTAAGTTCTGTTTACTGGTTCAAGAGCCTCAACAGTGACCACGCTATTTCCTCTGATCACCACCATTCCAATATCATTTTTCTCATTTCCGTTCACTTCCATGGTGTTGTCAACCACTAGATTCATAAACTGGTCAAAACCACGAAGCGTTCCAACAACCATCCGATTTGCATTCAACTTGATCTGAAGCTTCTTGTCCATGTATTTCTTGAGATCCGGTGGCTGGCCTGATCTGCTCATGTTGAA